ATGATATCTTCAATTCTCTAATTTTGGTGAATATTTTTGTCATTTTTGGTAAAAACTGATATTTTCGACTTCTTGTTAAAAACCGCAAGTGCAATTGCTTTGATATTACATATATAGGTACTACATGTGGACCTCTCTCAGTTTTGTTCATTTTGTAATGATATCTTTAATTCTCTAATTTTGGTGAATATTTTTGTCATTTTTGGTAAAAACTGATATTTTCGACTTCTTGTTAAAAACCGCAAGTCCAATTGCTTTGATATTACATATATAGGTACTACATGTGGACCTCTCTCAGATTTGTTCATTTTGTGATGATATCTTCAATTCTCTAATTTTGGTGAATATTTTTGTCATTTTTGGTAAAAAGTGATATTTTCGACTTCTTGTTAAAAACCGCAAGTGCAATTGCTTTGATATTACATATATAGGTACTACATGTGGACCTCTCTCAGATTTGTTCATTTTGTAATGATATCTTTAATTCTCTAATTTTGGTGAATATTTTTGTCATTTTTGGTAAAAACTGATATTTTCGACTTCTTGTTAAAAACCGCAAGTGCAAATGCTTTGATATTACATTATAGGTACTACATGTGGACCTCTCTCAGATTTGTTCATTTTGTAATGATATCTTTAATTCTCTATTTTGGTGAATATTTTTGTCATTTTTTGGTGAAAAGTGATATTTTCGACTTCTTGTTAAAAACCGCAAGTCCAATTGCTTTGATACTACATATATACATGTAGGTACTACATGTGGACCTTTCTCAGATTTGTTTATTTCGTGATGATATCTTCAATTCTCTAATTTTGGTGAATATTTTTGTCATTTTTGGTAAAAAGTGATATTTTTGACTTCTTGTTAAAAACCGCAAGTCCGATTGCTTTGATATTACATATATAGGTACTACATGTGGACCTCTCTCAGATTTGTTCATTTTGTGATGATATCTTCAATTCTCTAATTTTGGTGAATATTTTTGTCATTTTTGGTAAAAAGTGATATTTTCGACTTCTTGTTGAAAACTGTAAGTCCGATTGCTTTGATATTACATATATAGATACTACATGTGGACCTCTCTCAGATTTGTTCGTTTTGTGATGATGTCTTCAATTCTCTAATTAATTTATTTTGGTGAATATTTTTGTAATTTTTGGTAAAAAGTGATATTTTCGACTTCTTGTTAAAAACTGTAAGTCCGATTGCTTTGATACTATTCATATTGTTCATTTTCTAATGATGTCTTCAGTTCTTTAATTGAAATGTGCATTGCTAACAGCGGAGCTATCTCAGCCGATAGGCTGCTTGTTAATTCACAGCACCGGTCTTGGTGATCTATTACTTTTTTTGAGGGGGAAAAGGAGAAATGATCGGTCGTCATTGATTACCATGACACTTTTTACAATGAAGAAACAAAGTTAACATGTTCATAAAAATACACACATTTTATTACAATACAGTTTAAATACCGTCCGATTTTACGGTGCAAAAATGGGTTAGGGTCTGTGGAAAAACAGTTGAAGGCAAGATTATCAAACTTTCTTTGACCTAAAAAGTCTTTCGTTAACCAATCAAAATGCTGTGTCGTACAGACGAAGTACGAAGTAATTTTTTCAACGCAATGTGGAAGTGAATTACTGTGATGTTAAAATGTGATCTGTTAACACTGACTTTGACAAAAAAAGCTGCGGATTTAGAATTTTCGAAAGGTAAACTGAGAGTGGAGGAAGTATTCGCAAACAAGTCTTGTTGAACAATATTTTGCTTGTTCACACTCCATTCACGCTAGTCTCAATGAACACGATTATTCGGAAAAGTAAAACTATGTTCTATGCCTAGGTTTCACGACTTGACGATCAAATTTTTGGCGTTTTGAAAACTACTCCTCAAAAGAAATATGGATTACTTCAATATTGAAGCATTGGGGTTCATTCTGAGTGAATAACAGAATAGAAAAAATACGAGCCATGTTTCATACGTTCACCCACCATGCACTCTGAAATTAATGCGAGTTTTCTCATAAAAGCAGGAACCAAACTACTGTACCAATCTTGATTTTTATGCAATGAAATACACTTTTTACATGCATATTTTAATAAATGTCGTAATCATTTTTAACAGCTCAAAATCAAGTATGTCATTTGCCTGTGACCAATTTACACTACTGTAAATGTTTGCTCCGTAAACCAATGTGATCTTGTTTATTTTTATTTGAAACTTGTTCTATACTTTTATTTACCAACAAAATAAAAAAATGTTTTCACTCTCGTCTGATGGCTGAATTAAAATACTAAATGCACTATTCTTGATATTTTGCATCCCCTGTCATGTATATTATAGTTGGGCTATAATGGTAGGAGTTACAATGTAATGAGAAATATAGGTTTAAAACAAACATGCCTCTCATCCTTAAACGTCTTGTTTTTAAAATACTTGTCTACAATTTGTATTTATTTCTCAGCTTCAAGAGGACGAACTTCGAGATTCAGTCTTACTAGTATTTGCCAACAAACAGGATTTACCTAATGCAATGCCAGTATCAGAAGTTACAGAAAAATTGGGTCTCAATGAACTTAGGAACAAAAAGGTAAAGCAGTGAATCAATACATCTTATTAACTGAAAAGTATGTTAATTCTTTCAACACCACTTTTGTCACCTTTTTTGCGATTTTTGATCAAAACGCGCAGCCATAGTGACCTGTAGCCAATTGTTTTCACTTGGTTTAAAATTATCAAAACATGCAGCCATAGTGACCTGTAGCCAATTGTTTTCACTTGGTTTAAAATTATCAAAACATGCGCAATTTAAAAAATGTTGCACCAAATGTTTGGTGTTCAAAGAGTTGATATGGTCCTCTGATCACAATTTGTAACAACCAGGAACAATTGCACTTCCCCACCATTGATCTATTGTGATTCCACCACTTTTCCACCACATCAGCTTTTGTCTGTCAATCATTCTGAGGTGTAAAAATAGTAGATTGATATATTTACATGTACTATTATGTTATAATTGAGGTCTAAACATCATTCAATCTGAAAACGCTTGAATAGAAAAAATTAGCCATAACTAGCCATATTTATAATCGCAGTTTGGACGCAGTTCAAAAACAAGTTGTTTTGACCTCCATGTGTCTGCATCTGAGCCGCTGCATCTTGGGCATTCCTGGTCCAATCACATTTAAACTTCATAAATACATTACATATCTTGGGAGACATGTGCAAGCTAATTCATTTCATGATTCATTTCAAGATTGTTGAATGGCGGTCATTTTTGTACTAAAAATGAAGCATTTCTGTCTTTCCGGAACTGGATCTGTCATGTGTGGACAGATTTTGTTAAAACTTGGTACATACATTGGACATTATGGGGTCTTGAAGCATGTCACAAACTAGTATCCAAGGCCATATTAGTTTTACACTTGCATTGAATAATACAATCCTTTCATTCATTGCACCATGAATAAATAATAATTAGTTTTCGTGATACATTATCAGAAAAAATGAAATGAAATTTATATTTGTTTGAGTGTTTGAATTATTACAGTTGATTAGTTATTTGATAATACAATAACCTAGTTTTATATGGTTCAACTAATGCAATGCAAGAAATTTTATCAAGTAGTAATGTTAGTGTAATTGTCTTTTTTAAGTTGGGTTTAATTAAGTTTGATTTTCTTTTCAGTGGTATATACAGAGTGCTTGTGCAACACAAGGTCAAGGTCTGTACGAAGGATTGGACTGGCTTTCCAATGAACTTTCACAGTAAAACACCATACTCTGCTATACATTTATTTATTACTGTAAAACACTGAAAAAAAAAAAAGAAAGGAGATCTGCAAAGTGATTAGTGGGAGGCACAGAGCGTGGATAGACTATGCCAGTCTCTTTGCTGAGATATTGAATTTTCTTTTCTTGAAAATGTACATAAACCTTCTTCTCAAATTTTGCAATTTTTGATCTGCTTTACTGTCATAATTTGCAATCATTATTTGTGTGAATTTAGTTTATACTTTGTCTTGTTACTGACAATACTGCCATTGTTTCACATGGGAGGGGCAGTAGAGAAGTCTACTCTCTGCCTTCTACTGATCTCTGAATCTCGTTACTGAGTGATTCACCTTGCGAGTTGGTGTCACAAGATCTGGCAATTCTGCCAGTCATGCGTGTTACAATCTCTCTTAGCTTGTTAGATCTTAATGCCATTTTAGCCAATACTACTTTTGTAAAATGTAAACTATGTACCAGCAAAAAGTTCTACATTGACGTATCAAGAACTCATTACAAAGAGGAAGCATTTATGCAAGATGCTTTTGTTGTTGAGAAGCAATGTCTTTGTGCTGCATTTGTGTAGAACAGTTTTTCTGAAAAATTTGTATGGATCAAATGGTTTCCAAGTGGATAGATATTGCATGATTTTTTTTTTTAAATTTGAATGTTTCAGTCGACTTTATATTTCTTAGGACTTTTTGGTTTTCAAAGCTTTGCAGTGACTCGTGTAAGGTGGTTTCACTCTTGCTTTGAATACATTAGCATCTCTTCCCTATCTGAGGATATTTTAATTGGTGCCAAGGAATATATTATGCCATGTTCACGGATGCTCAATGTTGCACACTATTCTCTCAGTGTAGTAGCGCCCTCGCTGGCAAGTTTCTCAAACTACAGAAGTACGAATTACCATGAAAGTGAATATTTTGTTGGATCAGTCAAATGCATGAAATTAAACGACTTTCAATTCTGAGGTTGTCGTCTTTATGTGAAAAAAGTTTAGATTATTCAACACTAATTGAACCACTTGTTAATATGTGTGGAGAAATCAAATAAACGTGGCTTTGATATTATCAATATTTGTTTCGTCATTACTTTTTTGCCAGGAATTTTTTTAGCATGTTTTTTTTCTCTTGTATTTGCGGGGGTTATATCTGGATACCCAATTTGGGTTAAGTATGAATGTCTATTGAATATGAATAGTCCTGTCATCTATGCTAACGTAAAGAAATTGATAGAAACTATTTACAATACATAATTTTGACTAAAAAAAGTCCTAGTAATCTTGGTACATACCTTTTCGTGCATTGCCCACTTCCATGTGATGGAGTACAAAGTTAACAGCGCCAACTATAGTTCGAAAAGTGAAATCTATACAACAGATTTACCGATGGCAGTGAATAAACTACCCATACCAATGTTGAGTGTATGGTCAAAATAAGTCTCAATCCAGTTTACTTTGAATGCAATTGTTGGCTTGCATGTATTTGTAATGCACAGATAGAACAAGTTTTAATTTAAAGATTATGTAAATTATCGCATATTTTATAGTTGGATGCTAACCCAATGTAAATAGAGTTATCCAAAAAAACAAACAATCTGCACTGTTTACTATTGTCAATCAGGTTAAACCGGGCAAACGCATTTATTAGAATAAGTGTTATTTTTTTGACCTAGTAAAAATGTTTGAAACTATTTCCATATTAAAATATTTCAAAAAAAATAAATTATAAGTGCCAATTCATACCTACCTATTTGTTTCACCATACACTTCCAAACCTAAATGATGAATTGCTCAAAAATCACAATTTTTCAAAAAAGATTCGCTGTAAAAGTCCAAGAAATCTTATGAAATATTTTAATTATTTTTAGTTCAGCTACAACCAAACGAGTCTGCAGTTTTAAAAGATAAATAAAGTGCAACAATTGTCAATATTCTCAATGGCCAAAAAAAAAATTAAAAGATGAGCAAAAAAAAATGCTAAATTAATATTGAGTGACCTATATGCGACTGTTTAATAGAACACTTCACACACGCATCAACTATAATCACGTCACCCATATTGCAAAGGACACTATTTTTTTTATTTTCATATTAAAAAGCATATCCATTACATGACTGTTGTCATGGCAACCATTGATGGAATGTTTTTCTTCCTTTTTTTGCCATGGTTATTTGCATTTTAATCAAGCAATTCTAGTATGGAGTAAGCACAAAGGCCACCCCCTCAGTGTGGGAATTAATAAGATACTTGACAAGGCAATCAATGTTGACAGCTTGCAATATGCATGTTAAATGTTATCTCAAAGCTTCACAATCACTGTAAATCAGTGCTTGATATTTTGATAAAATTCAATATGAGAAAATATGCATGAAAAGTAATGCTGTCATGGCACTTTTATTTCCTTTACTTCATTCAATGTTGTAAGCACATTCCATAGACAATATGTGTCATAAATTATACTGGATGGATGCACAGCTCATGATAATAAATCAATGTAAATAAATATCACTGATTAGAAAAATATTTCTATTTAATTTGTAGTGAACATGGAGACAATATAGTTAATGTCCAATCTGTATTGGATTGAATTACAGGTTAATGAACTGATCAACAAATAAATGCAGGCTTGGATCAAATGTACATGCATCTTCTCAATGGTAGTTCTAAATTACATTTCTATTTGTGTATGTATTCACAATCAAACTGATGTTTTCTATTTGGAACCATCTTTCATTATGTGCTGTTGTAACTGGTAAACCCCACTAAATAATATGAAATGTACAGTGATCGAATCACATGTCACATAACAAAATGAGAAGCTGTGATTGGTTGATAAGATGGGTTTATTAAGACTGACATCAATTTCACCATGTCATCTATCAATATTTTAAAAAAGGAAAAAATTCAATCACAGAGTTACATATATAGCACCAAGTGTTATCTTTATATATACATTCACAAATTTAAAAAAAAGTATGTAAAAATATTATTTGACAAACTTAATTACAATAAAATAGAGTTAATATTTGTGATATGGTAATTCAGCATGCATTGTGTGGATAACAATCTTAATGTGTCAGAACTTTGTAACAAAAACACATGCAACAATTTATTTCAAATTTCACAGGAGGAAAATAAAAGGATATTTATGTGAACTAGTTTGTTCATTTAGTATTTCACCAAATTTGGCATTGCGAAGTGACTTAATTTCAAAAAAAATAAAATATGTAAATACAAAATGCACAAAAATTAAAAAGTTTTTTATAGATTGTCCAGTTTCTAGTTCTTCAGTGAGAATAGAGGTAACATGTACTGTTTGTGCCAATAAACATTTGTGTAAGTCAAGGCTTGTTTCATGTAAAGCCAATTAATTGAAGATAATTTGTTTTTGGACTGTAAATTGCTTCAATTTCACTATACACAAATTTTCACAAGTCAGTGAACATTGTGAAGTTTTATAGTGGCACAACTTTCTTGGGGTTCTATGACATAGAATGTCATCAATTTTTGTAAAATTTTAGTTTTCATGCATGCCATTAAATCACCTAATCACGATAATTACTAGAAGTGAAAATTAAACAGTTCATAGTACTACATTAAATATTTTGTTGACAATATTGGTTTACATCATACCACACTCGTCCAACTTGGCACCCATGTTCGACGAAGTGCCCACCCTCACTTCTGGGACATTTCACATTCAACAGTCAAGATAATGATACAAATTTTGACTTTGACGGTGTTCCCACAGACCCTAATAATTTTAACATTATACATTCTAGTGGTAAGTAATTATTGTAATGAAATGTGCATATTTTTTATGACCACTTCTGTTTCTTCATTGTAAAAGTGTTATAGAAATCAACTAATTTCGCAATTGTATTTTCCCCAACGAGACATAATATTTACCCTCAGTCTGGCACATGGTGCACTAAAATTGTTATTTGCATACTTTTTGAGAGGCGTGCTTAGCTAAGCACCCATCCCCTAAAACACATGATTTTTGGAGCTGAGTACCCTGGGCGTTAAGTCAGACAAGTATGGTACATTTTTTCCACCTAAGACTTTGTTGACAATATTGGTTTCCATAATACATCCTGTCCATGTCTGAATGATCCTTGACCAGATGTCTCAAAGGATGGTTTATATTCTGTGAGAGCATTCAATGTAAGTGGCTGCCATGATGTCTTCTTTTCATCACTAGAGCCAGCAAAGTCAGCTTTAGGAGGAGCTGTATTGGATCTTCTGATAGTTGATGAATTACCTGGTGAATAAAACGCCTCTAATTAGTATACACTGTTTTCATGCTATCAAGAAAGCTTAGAAAATGAAATTTAATCTACGAATATAACACGAAATAATAGTTTTAATTGCTAAGTGTTTTTTTTTTATTACTAATTTTTAATGACTTTCCTAAAATGTTAACTACCTACATATAGGTACATAGATTTTTAAAATCACCTGATACAAACAGTTACAATTCTTAGAGCCTAAAACTGCATTATGATTTGCACATCAATCTGAGATTGGATGTAAAATTACCAGTGTTAGTGTTAAATTGTTTAGTCAAATTTCAGGGCTTAAACAGACTTCATTGAACTTTATGTATTCATGATGGTGGTCAAAAATTGATACATTGTTTCCTCACATAAACAGAACAGAAGATAATACGATATCGTGTCTAGATGGATGGATGGGTGTTAGATTGGTGGGTGGTTTTGTAGCTCGTTGCTACTAAGTAAACTTAATTACGTGAAAATTCACGTATCAGAATAAAGAAAATAACACACACACAACTTTACGGGTTGTAGGTTAGCGGTGAAGTGCCCTTTTTATATTGCGTAACAGGTGATCAGCTCATGACAACATACATGGCGTAATGTGATTAGCTAATAAGGTCATGGTCATTACATGTGATTATGTAAACCTAACTCAATGAATAAAAGTACAGGAAACCATAGCAAAGTCAAAGATACAACAGGTGGGTTGATTCATGGATGGATGTGTATGTTGATGGATGGAAGGGTGTTGGATTGGTGGGTGGGTGGATAGATGAATGGGTGTTGGATTGGTGGGTGGATAGATAGATGAATGGGTGTTGGATTGGTAAGTGGGTTGATGGATGGATGGGTGTTGGATTGGTGGGTGGGTTGATGGATGGATGGGTGTTGGATTGGTTGGTGGGTCTTGGATTGGTAAGTGGGTTGATGAATAGATTGGTGGATGGATGGGTGGGTGTGTAGGTTGATTGATGGATGGGTGTGTAGGTTGATGGCTGGATGGGCACATATGTATTAAATCTTATTTTCACATTTATATAAAGAACCATTGAATTGATTGGGATGTAATTTAATTGATATACAGTTACTTTGTTTTGAGCAAAAGGAACAATTTCAACATTCAGTACTAAAATTAGAAATATAAAGCTTAATTCAAGCTAATGTTTTTCATAACCTGCATGTCAAAAAAGAACCATACACTGAGAAGGCATACAAAGTGTCTGAAAAGGGTTTCATTTTTCTGGCAGTACACCCCTACCAGTTTTTGAGGAAAATACATTTTTGTTGTGATTTCTTGCATTTATTTGTAAAATAGGTGATGGATACATGGATGATGTCAAGCATGAATATGTACACTATATGCAGCTTAGAGTTGGTTTTCTCATATTTTAGACAAAAACATTTAGTAGAGCCAGGGTATGTGTTACAATAGTTTGTATGCTACAACATTATCCATGACTGGTACCAACCTTCTAATAGTCCAGTCTTATTTGCTTTTCTCTTAGCCATTGCTGACATAGATTTGATCTGTGTAGGTGGTGGTTTACTTTCTTCATGTCGTAGTGGCTCCGGTATTTCATTCTTTTTACCCTTTTTCCAGAATTTTCCTTCCTCTTTGCACATATCTTCTGTGAGGAAGACGAGTTTAGGTGGTGGTTTAATCTTCGGCTTCTCTTCCTTTACTTCTTCTTCTGGTTTATTGACAATCATATTGATTAACCAATCATCAGAGTCTTCAGACTCGTCATCTGTCACTTCACACTTCGCTGTAGTTGGACATGAATCATTGGGTGTTATCACTTCCAATCTTTGTGGATCTTTCTCTCCCTCCATTGTAGGCCAATCAATTGGTTTTCTTTTCAACCACCTTTTGTAGTCTTCCTCTAATATTTCATCCTAGTAGTGAAAAGATAGGAGTATATAGTTACCAAACAAATACACAAATATACATGTTCTTACCAAACAAACATACAAAGATGCCATTCTTACCTCGTCAGGCACCCATGATGGGTGATATCTCATTAATCCTTCTTGTCCTTCAAGGTCGTTGAAATCGGGAGGGGGATTATTAAACAACAGAATAGATGTTTTGTCCTCATTTAGTTGAGCTGCTCGGAACATCAGTTCCATCTTGTTTTTCATTTCACGCACTCGTTCATGATAACTGCTGTCTTGTATCTTTTCTGATTCTGGCACCTATGAGTAATACAATACATACAGGATTACAACAAATAGCACCTACATGTATGGGTAATACATACAGGATTACAACAAATAGCACCTATGGGTAATACATACAGGATTACAACAAATAGCACCTATGGGTAATACATACAGGATTACAACAAATAGCACCTATGGGTAATACATACAGGATTACAACAAATAGCACCTATGGGTAATACATACAGGATTACAACAAATAGCACCTATGGGAAATACATACAGGATTACAACAAAGAGCACCTATGGGAAATACATACAGGATTACAACAAATAGCACCCATGGGCAATACATACAGGATTACAAAAAATAGCACCCATGATTAATACATACAGGATTACAACAAATAGCACCCATGGGTAATACATGCAGGATTACAACAAATAGCACCCATTGTTAATACATACAGGATTACAACAAATAGCACCTATGGGTAATACTTACAGGATTACAACAAATAGCACCCATTGTTAATACATACAGGATTACAACAAATAGCACCCATGGGTAATACATACAGGATTACAACAAATAGCACCTATGGGTAATACTTACAGGATTACAACAAATAGCACCCATTGTTAATACATACATGATTACAACAAATAGCACCCATGGGTAATACATACAGGATTACAACAAATAGCACCTACATGTATGGATAATACATACAGGATTACAACAAATAGCACCTAAGGGTAATACATACAGGATTACAACAAATAGCACCTATGGGTAATACATACAGGATTACAACAAATAGCACCCATGGTTAATACATACAGGATTACAACAAATAGCACCTATGAATAATACATACAGGATTACAACAAATAGCACCTATGGGTAATACATACAGGATTACAACAAATAGCACCTATGAATAATACATACAGGATTACAACAAATAGCACCCATGGTTAATACATACAGGATTACAACAAATAGCACCTATGAATAATACATACAGGATTACAACAAATAGCACCTATATTTCTGTACTTATGGGATTATAGAAAATACCAACTTATAACTTGTATCAAATCAAAAAGTTTCTAACGGGGGAAAATAAAATTTATTATCTAGTTTATATACTAATTAGTCCCTGTTCGGACGAAGTCCGAAAACGGGGACTTATAATTCGGTCTCCGTCGGTGCGTCCGTCCAGTCATATCTCAGAATCCCTTGGACCGATTCCGTTCATTCTTTGCATGTGCCTTGTACTTTATGTGGTACATATGCACATGCAGTGGTTTAGCAATTTGATTCAAAATGGACCACTGACAGCCATCTTGTTTTTTGAAAATGTTGTATTTTGGACATGCTTTGTCAGTTGTCATTCAAACTTGGTACATAGATTATACATGTTGGGATACATGTCCATGACGATTTATTTCACAATTGGATTAAAGATGGTCGACTGGTTGGCATCTTGTTTTGTTTTTTGATGCGGTATCTTGGACATGCTCTGTCTGTTTTCATTCAAATTTGGCACATACATGTACTTTATACATGTTAGAATGCATGTCCATGACAATTTGTTTCAAAATCTGGTCAAGGATGGCTGATTGACAGCCATCTGACTTTTTGGCCTTACTACTTCCACAATTTATGTACCATTTTCATTCGTATTTGGCACATACATCATACATGTCATTGTGTTTCCTAATCAGATCAAAGATGGCCGAATAACGGCTGTTTTTATATTTGGCTATATTACTACTACACGGAACACGTGTTTTGATGTAAATAAACAATCTGTTGTATACGCCACTTGGATAAACAGACTGCAGTGAGCGTGACAACAACCATGATACAACATTTCAACTATTTTTATTTTGTAAAACATATAGACAACAGAAAATATGCACACTCATGGTTAAGAATGGAACAATTATTTACCTCAGTTTCACTGTAAAAACTTCTCTTTGCTACTGTTTTATGCCGGGTTAAACATTCCCGCACAAATGCACCATATGCATCTTTTAACTCACTTGGTATGCGTTGATCAGCTTGAACTAGTTTCACTCTAGACTGGCCCCTTAGTATGGACCACAGAGTGCTAGCACCAGCCCTCCCTACAAATAACACAACACACAATCAGTTACACACATTTGAGACTGGCAACACATGGTGCCAATTTCATTGCTTGGAATACCGATACCTTACAATACAATACTAAGATACAGTTTGTTTTCGTTTTTTTTCATGATTCTATTGTGTGAACATAATGTTGCTTTGTGACTAATCTCTGCAGGCACATACATTAATACCATCTAAAGTTGGTTACCTTTTTTAACTGAACATGTAAGAAAATGGGTATTTCACATCAATCAACAAACATAAGATTAAATTAGAAAAAATCTGAAATGCTGGATTTAAATGGCTGCATGCAAGAATGAAGACCATGCATGAAAATATTGTAGTAATCACGCTGTATTATACCTTGACTGAGAAACAAGTGTACATCCTTGGACTGAAGATAAAGCATTAAAACAAAGATATGACACATGAATGATGATCTATCCATAACTGTCAATATTTTTAGCAACCGCATCAAGTATACTCCACTACTATGATATACATGTACCAAGTACTATTTTTTTTTTAAATTTGTCTAATATATATGCAGACCTTAAATTCTGTAATGGCAGAAATGATTTTGTTTTAATTAACATGATGGGTCAGAGCAGACACAGGTGTAAACACATTGTAGGATGTATATAGATGCCCACTAAGTTAAAATTATCAAACCATGTTTTTCAATTTCTGACAGTTGTTGTCAATATGCACTTACCCCCTTGCCTCCTCAAAGCTGGATTCACTCGAATTTTCTTCTTCTTGATGGGTTCAATCCTTGGGTATAGAAAATAGTTGGCTTGTTTTGTACCAAAAAGTCTATAGAGTTCTGATTTATGTTGTGGAAGTTCCTCAGGTTGACCCTCCATGCCATCTACCTCTGATATGTAACTAGCAAATGTGTCTTCTCGTGAATAATCAATGAGTCCACTGCTTGTAACAGATGTGCGATTAGAATCCCCTCCACGACTTTGAATTACACTTAGAGGACGGTTAGAGATCCTTCCTTTTATTTCACTGTTATCAGCAACTTCTTTCTTTTCTTCTTTTTTATGATGTAATGCATGTAAATGTGCTCTGCGGTTAGTGATCTTCTCCTTATCCAACTCTGTAGAATACACATAGATACTGTTATCCTGTTTTTCGCTCTATGACATACAGTCACATATAGAAGTCACTGGCAGGGAGTCACATTAAGTATATAGATTTATATTGAATTTAACATACCTAAGGACTGTCGACATTTGGCAACAAGCTCAGCTTCCTTGGTGTGCTTCTTTCTTCTCTGTGCTTCTTTGGCCTGTAAAAAAAGCATTAACCATTAAATGACTAACAAGGGCAGTATTCAGCAATAGAGGACACAAGCTGACAGAGAACACTTGAATGTATTATCTAACACAAAAATGGAACATGACAATCACAGATATTAAATTTCAGGACAAAGTTGTAAAAATGAGATGAAAAATATGAATTAATATAGAAATGTAAACAACAGATGCACAGAACACGCATCTAATTTATGCAAAAAAAAGCTAAATAATGCTAGCAAGAAATTCTTATAACACACCAGCTGTTGAAGATGGATTTAAAGAGACAGAGATAAGCTATTGTCTGAAATGCCTATACATACAACATTTAACATTTTCCATCGATAACAACTTACGTTAGATGTTAGCTTCTTTATATGCTAAAAAAGACAATGTGAGATTAGGTATGTGTATGTAAAAAGCGGATATTAGGATCACTAGTCACCATAGCAACCACCACAAATGCCAGATGTAATAAAGAGATATTTGCACACCATCATTTGCTTACAGAATTGCTATGACAATTAAGATAAATATCAGGTGATTTGGAAAAAAAGAGAATATTACTGAGTGACTTGATAATTCTGCAATAAAGCTACTTTAATGTCGTAATGGAAAATAAAGTGAATATAATAATATGAACAGGAAAAAACGATAGTTTGGTCTTGTCAGTCAAGCAGATAGAACAGGAAATTCAATTGAGCACTACATCCAGTATGAAATACACCAATGGTATTCCAACATATTGTTAGGATACTGGTAACCATGACAACTCTCCTGTTACTCTACCTTACCTATCACTTTTATCATTTCTTCTTTAAGATAAATATACTTAGGAAAAATGTTCATCAAATTTTGAATATGTTTGGTACTGCCACCATGATTGAGACTTTAGTCACTTACATCCGTACCATATGGATGGATATTGCCATGGCGACACCAATAAAGCTGATAATGTCACTATGGAAAACTGATTTCATATGGTGCTAGAGGATGAAAGTGTACTCCATGCACCAAATAAAGCCAGTCTCCCATTATAACAACATTCTATTCAAAGAGGGAAAAAAACAATTTTTTTTAATATATTTTTATAAACGTACAAGTCACTGTCAATAACAAGTACTTGTCCAGTTTCAACATTAGTGCCAAATAATTATTTAGACTTGTGTGACAGACATAAAGAGATATAAAGTGGAGTCAGTTCATTCATAATGCATTTCAAGTCCACGTTTTCAGATAACACCTGAACAGGGACTAAAAATGTTTCTGCTAACATAGATGAATCACTCACAGTCCCTCTATAGAGGGACTGTGAATCACTATATATCTAAGTTTATTGGGATGTTACTCAAATTGGTGTTTGAACTATTAAACAAACTAGCACTGCTATGTTTTTCAAGAGGCTTAGATGAAATGTATATTTGATTGTTTATTGTGTCTAATCAGGAGCACTTGAATTATAGATTATTTGTAAATAGAAAGCTGTAATGTTTGACAATGCATTTCTCCAATGATTGGTAAATTTTCATAATAATTAATACTGAAATATCACTGGGACCCCCCCCCATCAAATTTACTATGTTAGTTAGTGCCACATGTTTCAAATTTACACTGACAATTCAGAAAACAATGAGAGATGGGTTTTGAAATACAATATGCTCTGTCACAAAATAATGGCACATCAAAGGTGCTAACAAGTAGTGAAGTTTGGCAATTAGTCTGTCACATACGCTTATGTCAAAAAATTACTTTATACATTCAAATATGTTCCTATATATATCTAGGCTTTAAACAAGGTAGGTTTTAAATTAGATCACAGACAGAGAATGTTATATTCAAAAAATGTCATAACACTCTTTCCACTACCTTAAAGTGCCTGTGAAATGGCTGCTATTTTCACGCCTAAAAATATCAATTGATAAATGAATATTATTAATTTTTATGTTTCTATACATGAATTATTTTTTTTAAGTGAAAAAATGTGTTTTAAACTCAATCTACGGCAACTTTATTTTTGTGTATTTTAAAACGAGGCTCCTCATTAGCTTCTTATTTGCATACAGAAATTCCCCTTGTGACGTCAGAAGGGGAAGTCGCATGGCAGCTTGCATTGCCGATATGTGTAAATAAGGCAAATTTCTTGTGCAGTTTTCTCGTCTTTGACTAAATTTTCACTCATGTACTTGTTCGTCGAGGAGGAATGGACCATAATGAACACATAGTATCATTTTTTGTTGCACGGGGGTGAGTTAGATACGAAATATGTCCGTTCTGGTGTAGCTGGTCACTATGATCGTCACCGCCGCACGTTTGTACACTGTCGCTGGACAAAATAGAATTTGACGTTGGAATTATCTCGTTATTTAGCAGGTTACTAAGCACGTCACTACACTGTTGTATTTCATCGATTGTCTGAGTAAAACTTTCAAAATTAAAACAAGCAGCCTATCGGCTGAGATAGCTCCGCTGTTAGCAATGCACATTTCAATTAAAGAACTGAAGACATCATTAGAAAATGAACAATATGAATAGTATCAAAGCAATCGGACTTACAGTTTTTAACAAGAAGTCGAAAATATCACTTTTTACCAAAAATTACAAAAATATTCACCAAAATAAATAGAGAATTGAAGATATCATCACAAAACAAACAAATCTGAGAGAGGTCCACATGTAGTACCTATATATGTAATATCAAAGCAACCGGACTTACAGTTTTCAACAAGAAGTCGAAAATATCACTTTTTACCAAAAATGACAAAAATATTCACCAAAATTAGAGAACTGAAGATATCATCAGAAAATGAACAAATCTGAGAAAGGTCTACATGTAGTATCTATATATGTAATATCAAAGCAATTGAACTTTTGGTTTTTAACAAGAAGTCGAAAATATCACTTTTTACCAAAAATTACAAAAATATTCACCAAAATTAGAGAATTGAAGATATCATCACGAAATGAACAAATCTGAGAGAGGTCCACATGTAGTACCTATATATGTAGTATCAAAGCAATTGGACTTGCGGTTTTTAACAAGAAGTCGAAAATATCACTTTTTACCAAAAATGACAAAAATATTCACCAAAATTAGAGAATTAAAGATATCATTACAAAATGAACAAATCTGAGAGAGGTCCACATGTAGTACCTATATATGTAATATCAAAGCAATTGCACTTGCGGTTTTTAACAAGAAGTCGAAAATATCACTTTTTACCAAAAATGACAAAAATATTCACCAAAATTAGAGAATTGAAGATATCAA